TGTTTGGACTCTCATTCTGACGGCACCCATTCACTGCAGAGCATCCATTGCTGAGACACTGATGCAATGCTACATTTCTACAAACCTGATGAAGAAACAAACTCATAATTTTCAGCACGTTCATTGTGTGGTGAACTATTGCCTTAAGTAGGATCAATGCAGTTACTGAGAAACACCGGAAAACTGACATCTGTTCTGTTTGCATTAGTGACCTCAGGGGAAAAAATGAATGAAAAACACACAACACGACGCCTGTAAACACTGTTAAACTCTCTTAATCGGTTTAATGTGGCAGCTCGACCTGAAACGAGATCATTCCAGTAATCTCACATATTGTCTGACGTCACAGGACCTGAGATTTGTGTAATCGAAGGACAGAAAGCCTGGATGAGTAATAGATGTTCCTCTTTATATGGTCAGGTCATCTTTAAGGCTGTTTCCATAGAAACACTTCATCACTTCCTGTCCTTCTCGTGTGCATCTTGTACATGTGATCAGGCGTGTGGCGTGTGTGAGGTTAATGCTTTATGATAACGTGTGTGTTCTCAGTAGTACAGACCTCATTTTTGAGTGTTATATGAAGACGTGGAGAATTATCTGATTTTTATCGATTAAACTTCATCTCTTGTCCGACCAAACCGTCTATATGTTCACACATCATAAAAGCACTCGTTTGGTGTGTGTTTCATTTAGGGGTGTGTTTTTATATGTTGTATATCTTAAATAGATTGTTACAATAACAGAGCGGCTTGTAAAATATTGATTTGAAATTTGATGCATTCTCTGCAAATGGTTGTACAGAAAAAGAAATACACTCTAAAAAGTTTAGGATTTATGTAGCTGAAATGCATATAAAATGTCCATTTATTTGGATTACACAGTTTTAACATAAACGAATAAACTTCATGCGATTCATAGTTGTCAGTCTCTCATAAATGAAACGGGTCAGATTTCTGTAATAGTACTAAAAAACTGAACGTGTTTTAAATACACAATAACCAGGTTTATATATTTATCATCAATAAATACAATTTGTTTCAATCTCATATGCTTTAACTAACTGAATATTGCTAATAGTGAATATTTAACAATCTTCATAATTGTAACGGATTTATGCCGACTGTAAGCGATTTGAATAAATGCATTTTGAAAATGATTATTTAAATAAAATGAAATGGATGCAAATAGTTGCTGATAAACTGTTTATGTATGACTGACCAATATGCATCACCTTAACTTTATTAGTTTATGTTTTTATCTAAATGGATAGACATTTTGTCTTCTTATTTTCAACTTTAAGAAAAAGGTAAAAGTTAAATATATTTTGTATTTAACAAATACTACTTAGGAATTTTCTCTTCTTTTTTTCTTAAGATTAAACTTAAGAAATATTGAAATTAATGTACTTAAAAATCATCACAAATAACGTAAAGTTCGGATAGCCTCCAACTATTTATATTTATATTATTACTTATTTATTTTATAAACCATATCCATAGTGTGACAAAAATGCAATATTAAGTCTGTTAACTGTATTTGCAGTACATTCAATAATATCCATCATTATTTGTTTCTGTCCTTATTTATTAATTTATTAACTCCATTTTAAGGCTTTAACCTCAGCAAAAAACATTCACAGGTGTTTCTGTCTGTAACTGTAATTCCTGTAACTCAAACAGTAGAGTGTGGCATTGGCAATGCATGAACTGATAAAGCACAAAAAACTTTGAATTCGTTGTTAGTCACTTCGGATAAAAGCATCTGCCAAATGCATGAATGTAAATTCAGTAAAAAATCATTCTGATAATGATTTCAGCCAGTGTTGGGGAAAGTTACTTTTAAAAGTAATGCGTTACAATGTTGCGTTACTCCATAAAAAAAAAGTAATTAATTACGTTACTTAGTTACTTTTTTATGGAAAGTAATGCGTTACGTTACTTTTGCGTTACTTTCGCGTTACTTTTTAAATACGAGCAGAGCTTGATTGTTTTTAATATAAGAAGTTCGATTTATAGCAAATATAAAAGCCCTTTCACACCAAAAAGTGTAATGAATAAACCTCAGGCTGAAGCAAAAGTAAATTCACGTCTGTACAGTAGAACGCAGGAGAAGAAACACTCTTCAGCAATAAAAAAAAAACAATGAAGCACAATTGTTAGTTTATATAAAGTCATTTTTGCTTATTAGTATGCTTGAACTGGATCATCAAAGGTCAGCAGCAAAGATATTGGTTAATAAAATGGGATTAGATACATTTGTGTTATTTAACATATTTAATTATTGCAGGTTTGCGTCATGTTCTGACTTTGCATTTCACCGTTTTAATTTATTTTGATGAATACTAAATCTGTTTTTTTGTGAGTGGGATGAATTAATGCACATTCACATTTAGTCTAGATCTACAGTAGCATCATGTTCACACAGCGCACACAACGCCTCTGTACTCCCGATTTCTCCCAATATGGGGACAGGACAGCTGTCAGTCAATAAACGGAAAAACAAAGTAACTGGCATTACTTTTTTGAAAGCGTTACCCCCAACACTGATTTCAGGGGCATCCAGTTCGTCTGAGCATCAGAATGCTTTAGATAATCGTTGATTTCACATCAAAGCCGCATGCACCTTGAGGAGAACAACCTCTCTGAATTGCTCCTGATCATCCGTCTTCAAAAGGCGAGCAGAACGAGAAACACGGAGAATGAGCGTGCAGCTCCACACAATGCGTCTCGTTGTCTCTCCCACGCTGCTCCAGCATGACAGCTCTCTTCCAGTCTCCATCTGTTAAACTATGCTCTCTCTTTCTGTTCGTGATGGAGCCGCTTCATCAGGCCAGCATATGCACAAAACATCACGGCGTTTATAACTAATACCTGTCGTTTAGTGCTCAAGCGGCCCATATGTGTGGAAACATCAGCGCTGCGTCCACCTGTCTGGATCCACAGCTGCGTGCGGAGAAATAAACTTCATCAGAGAGAGAAATCAGACGGCAGGCTGCCAAAGCCAAGGATCTGCCTGCTTCTTGTTCCTAATCACTGCCAACCAGAGAATATGGAAGTCTGTTTCCATCACTGAATAAAGAATAAAAAGGGGAAATAAAAGGACTTTTTATCCACAATTCTGACGTTTTTTCTCATGTGATTCTGACTTTATAACATGCAGTTGCGACTCTATATCGAACAATTCTGACTACTTTTTTTCGCAAGTGCAAGTTTATATCATGCAGTTCTGAGAAAAAAAGTCAGAGCTGCAAGATGCAAACTCACAATTGCAATAAAAGTCAGAATTGTGAGATAAAAAGTCGCAATTCGCTTTTTTTTTATTTAGTGGCGAAAAACGGGCTTCCATAAGAGAAAGAACGAGAGAATTTTTGAATTTTTACACTCCTTTATTAATACTTTTTTTGGGGGACATGTTTATTGGGTGTGAATATGGTAAATGTACATTGCACTTTTCTGAGAAAAAATAAAAATACAAACAACAATTCTAATTTGTAAAAATGTAATTACATTTACACATCTTCCTCCAAACTAGGGAATAAACAAACAAAAAAAAACCTTTATAAAAGAATTATTAAATGTTCTTCTTCATCAACTGCAGACAAGATATTTCCAGTACCCCAAATTTCATCAAAAACCATTAAATTATTTGTCATTGTGTAAAAAGCAAACTCTGCTCTAATTCTTGCAGTTATTAGAGCTTTAAATGTCAATTTAGGATCCGCTGAACATTCACCTTTTATTTTCCTTTTTCTTGTCAACCACTTAACTTCACCTTCTGTAAAGTTCATCCAAGAAATCATCTTCTTTGCACCAAATATAAAATTTACTGTGGTAAACACTTCTCCTAAATTCCTGATCCAATCCTCCAAGATCTGAAATAACTTTCTTAAAAAAGATTTATCTATTGATTCCTCGATATTACAAAAACACACACATGCCTTTACCACACTGGGATCAAAATGTGCCGCAGAGAGAGAGAGAGAGAGATTTCTGTCAGTCGTGTTAGTCTGGTTGTGTGTATGTAGAGCTAGCGTCGTCTCTTCTCTGTGGTTCGCTCTGATATGCAATGTCTCCACAAAACACACGACGTTTCCTGGATTCCCTCCATCCTCTCTGTTTGAGGACAGTCTCTGATTCATTCTGTGATGGACGCTCGGGGGGGTTGCTGTTCGTAGTGTGATTTGAGTAATGTTTCTCTGACAGAAGTGGTTCTGCTTCTGAGAAATTGAATTTTGTTGTGTCCTCTATGGCACAAACTAGACTTGCTGTAGCTTCCTGGAAGTGCCCAGCGTCAGGACTATCACTGTGTGCAGGGCCGCATTAACCACTGGGCTAGGCGGGGCTGAAGCCCCGGGGCCCGGACAAAGAGGGGGCCCGTGATTGGCTGTGGGGTATTTTGACTGGTCATCGGTAGCGCCGATTGCCAAAGCCCCACCCCTCACATATTAGCGCTATTATTTAGTGGAGCTTTTCCATATATTCCATGCATTACCTTTAGAGATTAAAACGTAACGTTTGAATTTGGTTTACCAATCAAATGCATGTATTCTATATTTTTACTTTTGAATGACCCGTGCACCACGTATCAATCAGGTGATCGCTGCAATGTCCGCATTCACCTCTCTTCACTTCATTCTGGCATAATCTGGAAATGGTCAT